ATATTGACTGCATCTTTTGAGGCTAGCTAATGCTAGTTAATGCTCGAAGGTTCTATGTAACGTGGTCCACTAAATCCATTTTTAATGACCTTTCTGATTCGGTCGCTATAGTCTGTATGTTAAATAATTCAGGTAAATGTTAGTTAATTAACAATCGCTTATTATCGTATCGCTCGCTAACCAAAGACCAGGCTTCTTTGTAGTTAGAAGATGACACTACGAGATTTGCAATTACTCGTGCCTCATCTCCCTCGAGATACGAAATTAAATAATGATATTTGTGAATCTATACTAATATTATAAAGCTGAAGAGATTGTTTGTTTGTTTGAAAGCGCTAATCTCCGAAACTACTGGTTCGAATTGAATAATTCTTTTTGTGTTAGATAGTCCAGGTATCGAGGAAGGCTGTAGGCTATATAAAATCACGCTACGACCAATATTAGCAAAGATATAGTGGTAAATGTGTAAAAAATGGGAGAAATTATTTCATCTTTGAAGCCTTCCGTTGCGTGCGCCGTGAAAACGGTTCAAGATACACAAAAAATATGTATAAAAGAATAATAGCTCTTTTAATGATCTAAAAAACAGTCCACGACAGTATATGTCTATCTTTTAAGATTAACTCACAAAAACCGTTTTTATGGTAGCTAATTTGGTCGAAATAATTTGTTTAAGTTGTATCAACATAATAATATTAATCTTTATTCAAATAAACAAATAAATATGTTGTTGGTTAAGAGTATTTCATTGTGAATTTAAAAAAAACATAGGTTTTATCCTAAAAATTTCACGGGAACTCGACCATTCCGAAAACCCCTCAAGAACGGGAACTATGTGGGAAGAACCAAAATATCTGCCGGAAGTCACTATTCCACGCGGACGAAGTCGCGGCAAAAGCTAGTATCGGATAAATGTTCGTTTTCGTGCACTACAGTTTGAAAAGTATCTCGGAATTCCAGCCAGCGGAAATATGCGCCGTCAAATTTAACGATTTGAATTTGTGGCAACTTAAAACCAAGACTATCAGGATCATGATGGATGGCACGAGGTTGCAGGAGCTTAAGATTTACGTCGCGCTTCAGATTGTATTTTCGCATTTACAATGAGAATTTTAGCTGTTGCTATGCAAGAAATAATTTCGCTTTCGATGCCATCTCTCTCATTGATCTCAGAGTCTAAGTTTTGATAATTTAACTCCATTTCAGTTTGTAAATCTTCAAATTTAGTAGAAAAAGTTTCAAATTTATTTAATTTTAAAGATAATTCTGCTACGCTAGTACTAGATAGTTGAATTGACTCTAATGTTGTAAAATAATTTTTAAATTTTGTAATCTGGCCTTTTATGGAACTACGTTTTAAGCTTAACTCCTTATATTTAATAATAGGTTTATCTGAATCAGTAGCCATGACTTCGAATATTAAAATTAAGTTAATTTACAATATTGAAAATTCGAAGAGTTATTAATTTATCTCACTTAGCTGCACTGGAGTAAATTAAATGCGTCGTCACTCTCCTCCTTTCGGTGATACTCCCAGCAAAGAAACCGGTGCTGCGTCGCCAATAGCTCGATGCACAAAACCAGCGTCCTGCCTGCCACCTGGAAATTTCGGCAGAAAGGATGACTAAAAGTGAAACAGTATGGTGCTCTAAGAGTGCAGCTATTTAAATAACTTAGAGTATGACTACGTATTGCACGCACATGAACACGTGGCACTATGATGAAAATGTATAATTATTATTTATTTATTGTAGTTTTAAAAGGGATATATTTCGTAGTATCGTAATCGTTCTAGCTTAGATTAACTTTTAGTATTTTATATAAATTTTGAAATAAGTCAAAAAAAATGTTTTAAAATAATGAGAGAGTAATTTTGTTTATTATTAGTAATAAGAATTTGAATAAGACTATGAACTTGAACTTAAATTCGTTTGACCTTGTGTCGATGTGTGTGTGTGTAATACCTACACGTAAACAATTATTAGAAAAAAATAATAACTTTTTAGCTTAGTTTAAATTCTTTACATTTTCATTTAATTGCAAAAATACTTTAACTTTTATAAGTTAAATAAAAACATTTAAAAGCGTTCCTCTTCAGTTTAATTATATAGAAAATTTACTTACAGAATAAAAATCTTTCACCATTATTTATATTTAAAGGGATAATGTGCAATCAGTTTAATGAGAAAAAAAGAACCGCAAATGTTAAACATTATGTGAATACCTCTAATACAATTTTACTTTTAATATAACGAAGCTTTGTATCTTCATACAAAGGTTTTGATCTCTATGGAGCAGCGTTATTACATTTTTATTATTTACTTTACTAGTCTGCTTTGTAAGTTCTAATATTAATATAAGTTACAATTTTCTTTTATTCTTAGAAAATATACTTACTTACCTCCTACTCCTAAGAGCAGGAAATCGTACCTGATGCTATATAATATTTTTAAATGTACATATAACTAGTCTAAAAAGACATCCAAAATGAAGATTCCAAAATAAAAGGTAATGGAGAAAATTTATGTTCTGCTTAGACGTTTCAAAACTCTTACCAATATTTCGTTTTAATATTTTAGTTTTATCTAAAAAAACATACATACACCTTGAACGATTTGCGTAAAATTTAAGTATAAAGGTTCCGGCCGGCCCAATAAACAGACCAGTAAAGAACTACATATATTAAAAAAACATGAAATAGTCACATACTCTATCCTAGTACAAAGTTTTGTCACAGAAAAAATAATTATGATCGTATAATATAGTTATGAAACGTATCAATTATTGAAACATAACTTTTGATTGTGAAACTCAATAAAATATGAAATTAAAATAACCGTTACGATTTCCTTGTAACGTTTTCTTAATTTCTATATATGTAATAATAATGTCTTTATATGCACTACATTAAAACGAAAAAGGGTATTGTTTATTAATGAATATTTATGTTATAGATATTATAATAAAGTCTAATTTGAAACTGTATTTAGGTCTAATAAATAATTGATATCTATTTAGCGAACTTTAATAGAAAAGTTATAAAAAACGATACTGGATAAACATAGGTGCCTTGAAATAATATGTAGTATGACGTGTATGATAAATGCTGTTATTATTAAAAATATTCATAGAGTAAATTTTTACATGTTTATACAAACAGTATTCCGGAAGTTTCGCTTAAAGTTATTTTATAAGAGGCCATAAATGTTATATTTGTTTGAGTTATGTGTGTACCATAATAATCCCTCAACACAGCTGTAGACCTTCCCCCACTTCCCTGCTCTCTCCTTAAACATATTCTTGTCACAGTCGTAAAATGCAACAGGATAAAATGATTACTTCATAAAATCTTAAATTGATATTTATACAATTTTACCAATGTAATTTATGCAAAACTTCCTATCGAATTTTTAGTTAGAAGCGCATAAAAACAAAGTGCATATAATTTTAATACTTTAGTAAATGACATTAGTTACAAAGTATACATTTCATATAAGACTGTAACACTGAAAATTGATTTGCTTTCAGTCTTCATAATGTTGTAATCTATCATATTGTCAATGACAACTCGTAGTGAATGGTAGATTGTTATCGGAAACTATCGAAAGAGAAATAATTACAAACGTTTCTTAACGCTCTGAAGGATTTTGATGAAGTTATCGGTATATTTACTGATGCCACTATTGAGATACGTCATTATTGTATTTTTATGGGATAGAATTTTGGCTTTAAATTTGATATGAAATGAATATAATACACGTATCATGGATTTATACGAGTATTGAGAATGCTTTATTACCTCACATAATAATAATTAATACAAAATAATATTCCTTGTATAATATTGCAATATAGATGATATTTGTTCCATTTTATTTTCAAGAGTATCTTTTTGTATACACTTACAAAAGAATAAACATAATTTATATTTGAACAGGGAATTCTGCTATTAAAAATATATATATAGTGATATATCAAACGGGTCACATCCACATATCGAGTAAGAAAACATTGTAAATACTAAAATTGAAATATGATTTTAACTAGATCGGCATTTTTGTGTATCAAATTTACGAATTAGAAGTCAAATACAAATCACGGAATAATATTCAAATTGTACTTACATACGTATATATTTGCCTAAATTTTTTTTAAATCATAAAAACACATTCAAATGCACAACATAATACATATATTTTGTAGATTATCACAAAGAATAATAATTTGATGCAGTTTCTTGCTATAATAGTAGTAGAAAAATTGTTAATTAAAAGAATAACTCGTAGAACTCAAATATTTCGATTAAAACGGATAATTGTTTGAATATAATATTTCTAAAGTTGGCTTTTTAAATGAAGGTTTTTGTGTTTAACAACTCTAAAGAACAATTAAAACTTTGGTTTTCGGATGAAAGTGTCTTAATGAAAATAGTCAACGCAGTAAATTGTAGTATAACAAATCGACTAGTAGATCCGATAATGTTAATTTTATGAAAATACTAGAAGACCTGGCGAACTTCGTATCGCCCTATAATCAAGAAATATCTATTACTTTTTGTATTTATATTTTTGGAGTTTACCTGTAAGCCATAAATCTCCGTGTTTTGAAGAGCGACAGAATCACTGACATATTAGTTAGTTGTCAAATCTAATGTCCAAAAAAAAACGTTTGTATGGGAAATAGAAAAGGGCTGTTTTTATGGTTTTCCCAGTAATGAATAAATTTTTTCAGCTTTTATACCTTCCCTGAACCTCCACGAACATTTCAAGACTAAGATAAGATAAATCCGTTCAGCCGTTCTCGAGTTTTAGCGAGACTAAGGAACAGCAATCCATTTTTATATATATAGACGATTATACTATAAGTCTACCTGTTCAGCATCGTTTCCTTCACCTTCTTCATCACTGGACACTTCCAGACCATTTTTATTTCCTTTATCTTTATCTTCATCATCATTTTCTTTCTGCTCTTCTTATAAAGCTTCTTTCATAGCGTCGATTTCAAACGGATTCAGCTTCAGTTTCTCCATCCTGAATGTGATATTTAGTTTATTATTATTTTATTAAACAATAATTATGAAGAGTTTCGTGAACAATATATGTTTACCTTATCGTCTTTTTCTTCGCCGTCCAAGTTTAAATCATCGGGCATTTCAAAGTCCTCGGGTTCAGGTAGTTCTTGTTGTTTTCCATGATAGGGATCAACCTTCAAAATAAATCATTTACTATATAGTTAACATCAACACTTCAATAATAACTAACCTGATCACCGTCAACTTCGGGTTCCATTTCATTAATATCTTATTTTTCCTTTCCCTTCCTTCACTGCCCATCTTTTCCTAGTTCTTATTCTTTAGAGCCCATTTCTTTCTCACCTTTGCCTCGTTCTTATTTTGTTCTTCGTCTATATCTTCTTCGTCTTCGGATCCCCATATTTGTTGATCGAGCCTTTTCATTAAAGAACAAAACATAGGGAATATTAAAATAACTTTACACAAAATTACTTAATATTATACAGAGTGGTTAACTAGAGCTGTAACGTTCATACAAATGCAATTTAACTATTTCGTGTTTTTAAAACAGCTTATAGAATCTTACTTATACAATAATGAAAATAAAGGCATCCTTTTATTTTCCTAATATCTTTCTTAATATATGTATACATTGGACGTTCTAACTCTTGCTAACCGACTTTATGACAATTTAACAATATTAGTCAATTTCAAATAAATTGGTTCTGCTTTCAATTTTACATGTGACTAAAAACATATTAAAAATATTCGACATTTAAGATCACATTTTACAATAATTATTGTAATGTGTGGCAAAAATAATGATGATATTCACTTACTTTTCGACAGTATTATCTGTATCTCCCATTTGTTTATCGGCATCGTCATCATCATTTTCTTCATCTGATTATTCTGGAATTTAAAAGGACATTTATTAAATTTACAACCCTATTTTATATGTTTAAAACTTAATTTTATATGACTATATTATCAACCTTTCTGTTCAACGTCTTGTAAATGAGAATCAAAGTCGTCAGTCATATTGTCTCCTCTTCTTCCTTCCAATCTTTATCTTGTTCGTTCTTTTCATCATCCGGTTCTGAGTCTCAATCTAGTTCTGAGTGTTGGCAGAAACTGTAAGAAAATAAAGGAAGTTTCAATTTATTACTTGACTAAAACATTCTTAAACAATAACTTATTTAAGGATAATCGTAAGTACAATATGAATTAAAAAGCTTCAGTGGAACAACTTATTGAAATTATCTAATTTGTGGCAATTAATGAAAGTTTTTATAATATTTTATTATTTTTCTGTACTTCAGATATTTATAAAGTTTTATATTTAAATGCAACCGCAACTTATTCATTTTAACATTGTGGTATATTTTATCTAAATTGTATTGATATAATTACCCTTTCCATGCCAGATCCAAGAAAATCTTCAAAAGCACTAACAGTATTTTACAGGATACTCTATGCACAGCAACTTTTTGGGATACAAAATATTGGACAAATAGTATAACTTGCTCCAATATCGGTAGCAATCTCATAAAAACCGCTTGCAATGACTACAGTATGTTCACTTTATTATTTGTGAAGACATTTTTTCCGGATATAAGTCTAATTTTTAGAAATTATTTAAATGAAATAGAAATGACAATTCACATTTATATAAGAAAAAATATAGGAACTGAAACAATTTTACGTGTATAAAATAAATATTCGTTATAGAATTTAAAAAAAGAATTACCTCTAAAGATCCTAAATGTTCACTTGTCTCTATAACCAAGGTTACAAAGTCGTCCAAGGCCTGTAGTAGCGCGGGGTAGCCGTGTTAGCGATGCTGTCCTTACACAATGTTCGAGTTCAACAGACTTTGTTCAACAGACTCGGAATCTTTGCCAGGAGGCTGTTCCCTTGTATTAATTGACAAGGCTGTTCGAGCTGGTATTCGTATTTCTGTAAAAGGGAATTCAATTATTAAAACATTATTGCGTAATGCGTATGTTGCATATTTATAACTGTAACTAATTTTTTTAAGACACAAAAAATGCAATTATTGTTGCTAGCTACCTTTACCGCTAAATAAAACAGAAGACAGGCGAAATCATTCTTAACCACCAAATCTTTTATCATTATTATATTTTAAGTGTAATAAAAGTGACGTGTTTATATACCTTAATGTTTCTGTTCAGTACTACATGGTTCTGGAGATCTATCATATATGTTCCGCCCGCGGCGTTGCTTGCAGTGCCAGCCCTCTTTGGTCTATCCCAAATACCCGCGTGGTCGATAGACTCAGCCGTGTCCACGAGACAACTCGATACACTGTCCTTTAGAACTTTCTGTAGACAATTTTTAAAGTAGGATATTTACTCAGACTTCACAAACACATCAATTACCTAAGATAATATGTATAAGATGATAAAGTTCACAATAAGTAATGCTTTATATTACAAACAATAACCTAGAAATTATCGAAGGAATTTATAAATAAAAAACATGGAGTCCCCATGTACGGAAGAAGTGAAAATTCGTGTTGTTTCAATGAAAATAGGAAGGTATAAATATCAATTTATAGTGAACTCATATTGTTTCTTTAAGACAAACTTAATAAATATTGCTTACAATTCACAATTGATCCATTCATTTACTATCGCTCTGTCTCTTTCTATTCCCCCTCCCCAGGAGCGTTGAACGTTTAAGGCAACCTTGTTGGAAGTAGCATTAGACGCTTCACTACAATAAATATATCAATATGGCTGACCTCAAACTCCTTGGTGTGTTTGTGTAAAGCTTTATGAGCCTTGTCTACTGCGTCCTTCACACTCCAGTAACTGAGGTCTCTGTCCCAGGTGCAGATTTTCTTTAATATGTGAAGCCACTTGTGGAGCAAATTGACGATAATAATTATATGTATTCCACAACAATGATAGGAGTAACATATATAGATAGAAGTAAATTATTGGATATTGCAGAAGACCCACAGTAGTTGCAGTATAAGATATAGATTAATAAACTGAACCTAACTAAACTTTTAGGAAATAATTATAGGCTTTGTTAGGGAAAAAGTTTTGATTTTTGACTTTAAAGAAATTATGGTGATAAATGTATGTATGTCGTCCAAAAAATTTAAAAAGAGAATAAATTATCTATCTACGAAAAAGATATCAAGTGTAGTTATTTTTGTTGAGGTCAAATAGGTAAATAACTTACTATAAACTATTCACTATAACTATTATATCTAAAGTTCTTTGTAACATATATTATTTAACCAATGAATCTCACCACGTCTTTGACCGGCGTCCAGATGTATTAAATGGCAGTGATACTCATAAACAATGTCCAATCTCACATCGAACTCCCCTAGATAGTACTTTTCCATGAAATCTTTCAACACGGACACGACCCGCGACGATGACATATCAGTCTCCTCCAAGTAAGATGGTATCGCCGCATACATATAGAACCAGTATTTATGAACTTCGGCCTGTTGTCTGAAATGTTAATTAAGTATTATCCAAAACAGTTAAACTTTTAATACCTACTAAAAATTATTGTTCAATAGAATAGTTTTATGACTATCTTATTCGTAAGTAGACCAAGTTGTAGTAAGAAAAAACATTATTATAGAGAAAGTTTAATACTGGAATAATATTATATACTAAGATTTTTTTGTAATGAGATAAGTAGTTCTTACTTCATAAAATGCTAAAAGCCATTCGAATTTTGTGGCGTCTAAGTTAAGAAATAACATAAATCAATGACATAATTTTCACCTTTGATACAAGTTGTTAAGACACTCCTTCCAATGAGTCATTTCCAGTTTCCTCCAGTTAATGATCTGTTGTCCTACATATATATCCAGCCAGTGATATATCAATCATATTGTTTCCTTTGTGGGCGTTTTTGTTCCATTCTTCAATTTTATCTCTAAAGAGTTCCAAACCTGTCAGGAATCTCGACACTGGACTGGTATTCTATCTACTATTATTATAATCTAGAAAGATAAAAGATATACTAATAAATCATATATCATATCAAAATTGGAGATTCTAATACCAACGATATAAACGGGAGTCAATGGGAATGTATGAATATGTGTTGGTCTGTCACGTTAAATGTATTGAACGGATTATGAAGCTTTACAAAAATGTAGTTTGACTTCACATAACATTATTATCACTTCACTCGAAGTAGTTAACCAGCACATAACACACGTATATAGTGTAGAAGTTTAGTGACATAGACGATAGATGTCGCTGAAGCTTCCTTAATATATCTATTATATGACATAAACATTATGCAATTCGCTCTGAACTCAATACTGAAGAGAACGCGGTATGAGTCACGAAAGGAAACTAGTATTACATAAATATACATACATCTTTCAAAGTCGGAAAGTCTGGTCATTGATCCAATAATTCATTTGTCGCTTCTTTGAATCTTTCTAGGAGAGGAAGACATTTCCTTGTTTCGGAAATACAAGGTGACCGGTAGAAGTCAACTTTTGATCCTGTTCCACCTGAAATATACGAAAAATTATAAGATTATTCAAAAATTTACTATAACCATGTTTTAACCTCGTATCGAAGGATTATTAATTTAAAGTTTTCCATTTGAATTGAAGTTTCGGACAGTTGTGTTGAACAAATAGCAATAAAATTACAAAGAAACGACATAGCACATTTTGGATACTCACTAATTCCATGGACTTTGTCTTTAGTATGCGACACTAGCACCATTAAGCTTGGTAAAATAGTTCCTTCTAAAGTCACATCCCTGTATAACCCGTATCACCCTGTATAACCCGACTAAATGTTGGATAACGCAATAACAATGGGGTGACAACATCATTCACAGCCAACTTCTTTGGGGTGGATAACCATTGCGCGTTCGTTAGGTTCCGTACGAAGTTCGAATGCCATCTGTATATCAGGGAGACATCGTCAGGGGAAAACAATAGTTTGGGTTTCATAGTCCTCGGTTTGTCTTTCCTCTGTTCGAGAGTCGGCGGTTTAAACTCAGCGAATTCGGAGTCGGAGTATGAAGGGAACATTTCACTTATCTCTTCCTGCGCCAGAGCTTCTTCGTCTTCGTCTTCACATTTTGAACTGGAACATTGAAATTGCATTAGATACAAGGTTTGAATTTCCTATATTATGGTCCTTTTAATATAACAGACTAGCTGACCCGGCAGACTTCGTACTTCCTCAATCAAAAAATAAATTATTTCTTAATTATTTTTTTGGAGTTTGCGTTTAAGCCATAAATCTCCGTGTTCTAAAATGCGACAGAATGATTGACATATTGGTTAGTTGTCAAATATAATGTCAAAAAACCCGTTTGTATGGGAAATAGAAAAGCACTGTTTTTAGGGTTTTCCCAGAAATTAATTTTTGTTTTTTCAGCTTTTATGCCTTCCCTGAACATTTCAAGACTAA